CACCCGCCTGGCTCCGGCCAGGTGCGAGGACAGACTGGGGCCCCGGGGGCGGGCGGGGAGGGAGCACCCCGGATACCCCGGACCCCCGTCTTCCCGGGTATTTCTTTGGGCACTGCTGGGGAGAACCCTGGCGCGCAGGTGCCGTTGGATGGGCACCACCCGGGAAGACGAAGCCCTAGGGCTCCGAGGGGGACCCCGGCCGAGCTCAGGGCAGTGGCAGATTGGGTCCTGAACACCCTTGGGCTTGCTTTCCCAGCCCCCTCCCCCTCCCCCCCAACAAGCGACAGAATCCTGGGTGCGAGTCCGGGCAGGACCCGCCTCGGTGGTCAGGTCCGAGGCAGCCATTCCCCAGGAACTGGAGCGACGCCAGATTCAGCCCAGTGGATGTTTGCTCGGACCCCAGCTGGGGTCTGCTTTCCGCAGGACTGAGGGCTCCGGTGGTCTCGGCAGGGGTCTGGGGGCCTGAGCCCGCCGATGGCCAACTTCCCAAAGATTTCTCTAATTCTGCGAGGGGGGAAGGGGGCCTCTTGGGGTTGTGTCTGCATGTCCCCTGGTGTCTAAGGCTGGATCCGGGTGTGTCTGGGAGGCTGGGCTGTGACAGTGAAGGAAGCTGTGTCCTCCTGCCAGCATGTGAGGCCCTGGTCGGAGGGGAGAGGGAGGGAGAGCCCAGGCCGTTGGGGGGAGTGGGTAGGGGGAATGCTGAATATGTGACTGATAAGGAGTGGTTCTGGGGCTAAATAAGGGAGCTAGGACTTATGTAATTAATGCTATAAATACAGTCATCTGAATTTATATATGTAAATTTCCCCTTTAATCTCAGAATACATTTGTTGGTCTACTTTGGAAATGTGCATAACTAAAGCAGGAGCTCTTGGTTTCATAACTTCTAGACTGGGGTGTTGTTGTATTTCCACTGGGGAGGGGGTCGTGTCAGTTAAGTAAGTTTAGATCCAGGAGGAGAGATTCAGAGGTTGGATGAGTCAGAGATTCGCCTCACCTCTGCACTGTACATCAGAATTTATGGGCCCAAGGAGGGCAGCGCCTGAATCCTAACCCACCCGACGATTAGCAGGAGGCCAGGAGACCTGTGAGCGGGAGTGTCTGTGTGCATTTTCTCTGCCCGGCTGACCAGAAAGTTATGTCTGGGTCTTGTCTGTCTGTGGCCAGAGGTTGCTCCAACAGTTGATCTTACAGGTGGGAGAGGTATGTAGAGTAACCAGACTCGGACCACCTGATTTGCTGGCCGTGCCAGGCAAGTTATTTAACCCCTCAGTGTTCTCATCTGAGTAATGGGATAAAAATATTACCTCCCTCATAGGGTTATTGTGAGAGCCCAATGAGGGGATCCCAGTGAGGTGCTCTGAGCAGTGTCTGGCACATGGTAAGACACAGTAAATGAGAAATGATACCTAGTGCCCACGTGGATATGAAGACCAGCCCTGTGTAAGGAGGCGGCAGAGAATATGTTTGCTCTATTATACGGCACCTTTCTGAGGGGCTCCCAACACTGCATGTCCAGAGATTGTCCTTAGAAGCTGAGCTGAGAGGCCCTGCTGCACTGCCAGGCGGCTGGAAAGGCCCTTTCCTCAGATTCCATGTTTGCTGTCTGTGAGGATTTGGGGTGTTATCCCCATGGTGAGCTGAGGCACGGAGAGGGGACTGACTCAGGTAAGGGTGTTCAGCCTGAGCTCAGGGGCCAGGGTTACTGTGCCAGGTTCAGCTGGATGGACAGATGCCTTCCACGCCCTCTACACTCTGGGCCATTAGACTCCTGGGAGGACCTGCACAGGGTTGAATTTGGGTGGAGACCTTGGGTGGGGTTTTGGCCTGAATTTAGGAGTCTGGACTCCATTCTCCTCTCCTGGCTTGTCATCCTGGGAAAATACTTTCTTTAGCTTGCTATAAAATGGGCACAACCATGCTGATATTCTTCAAAGAGTTTGTTGAAGGTTAATTGCAGTCCATGGCATGTTTGGAAATATGCTTAGGTGTCTTGCCAGCCCCAGGATTGACTTTGGTGTTAAGCAGTGGCCATGAGACTCTGATCTAATTGAGCTACGGCAGGTCTACACTGCCTTTCAGGCTGGTTCATTGGTCAAACCAGCCCTGTAGGGGTGGGAATTCCTAGCCTGGAGCTTAGATGAGCATACAGAGTTGTTCTTTGAGGTCAACGTGTGCTGGGTTCCTGTTCCCCACCTGGCGTGATGTAACCCCCACAGGCTCAGCAGCCTTTACATCTTGGTTTGGCCCTGCTCAGCCCTAGATCAGACAGGGGATTACGGTTGACCTCCTAGACGAGCATGTCTGGGACAGCCATCTGAGGAATTTCCGTTGCCTCTTGCCTTCCTTGGGGAACCAGATTTCTGTCCACTCTTGCTCTGCTCCTCCTTACTGGGTCCCCTTCTCAGGGCTTACCCTTTCTTGCCCCTGAGGGCCATCTCCTGTGTTTCTCCTGTCAGAATTTTCTGGGGCAGGATTTTGGATGTTATCCCCATGGTGAGCTGAGGCACGGAGAGGGGACTCTGTGGTGAGGGAGGCTTTAGGGCCAAGGGAAAGTAGGGATATGAGAAGGAGAGGGAAGAAGCGTGTAGCATGGCAGCCTCACACCTGGCATTCTTCCCAGCCAGCCACCCCCCCCCATGTCAGCTCTATCCTCAGTACCATCTGTCACTTCCGTTGTCACCCTCGTAATCTTAACACTTCCCCAAGAAGCAGACTATCCAGGGAGTGCCTATTCCTTCCCTGACGCTAGAGCTTGTGGGAAGGGACGGTGGGAGGCAGCCCCCTCACCCACATGGGGCTCTGTCACAGAGTGGTATCTCCCTGTCCTGTAGAAATGGCCAGTAACCTCCTTGCTGAGCTGTTCCGAAGGAGAACTGAGAACTGAGCAGGAGACGTCTGTGTAGCTCTCAGTGCCTGGTGTTGAGGGGTCATAAGTGAGCCCCACCTTCCCCTGGGAGGCGGGTCTGCCCTGCCCGCCCTCCCTCATGGGCATCGTACCATGCTGTGGGTGCTCATGTTAGTAAGGTCTGTCTGGGATCTTGATGGGTCAGAGCAGGGAGGCTGGTGGGAGGCATTTGTGATCCATGATAAGGAACTAACCAGGGTAGGAACAGAGAGGGTAGCAAGAAGGAGACTGATCACAATGCCAAGGAGATGGGAGAATGGATGGAGGCTGGGAACCCAGGGCCTGACTTTTGTCAAAAGTTTGGATGGCAGGGAGGGCACTGGATGCTTTGTGGTCCACCGCCTTGTCGATACCAGCAGCTTGTAGTTGGTGAGGATGCAGACTCTGGTCATTGGCAAGCTTGGGCCTGAGACCCAACCCCAGCACTGGTACCCTAAGGTAGGCTAGGTGGAGGTGCATATTTGAGGCAGTAACTACCATGAATGTCTCTGTGGCTTGAGTCCAGCTACCGGAAGCAAGTAGCCGCAGGATGACAGAGCAAAGGGCCGGAGGGCTGGCTGGCCTCTTTGTGTCCCTTGTAGCCCATTCAGCCTTCCTGCCTCTGTGCTGCTAGCTAGGGTCTTGGGATCCCCAGGCATGGCTCCCAAGGCACAGGCTTTGCCAGACAACCAGATGTGGAGCTGTGCAGGCAGGAGTGAGATGCATCTGCCTGGGGAAAGGATGCCTCCCAAGGTCAGCATGCCCTCGTGATAGAGCTGGGGTGTTTTTTCCTGGAGCCACCTGCCTCCTCATGGCTCATGTGAAAAACCCTGGTTGGGAAGAGGTGGTGGAGGACAGGGCAAGGGATATCTTGGCGGTAACATCAGTTGCCCTGGGTGATCTTGGGGCAAATTAGATATTCTCTTCCTCAGAACACATGGCTTCCAGATGGTCCTTGGTCTAGGGGCCACATTTAGAGGGACAGAACTAGGAGAAGAGGGAATAAGGACCTATTTCAGATTTTGGGAGTTGACCACTCCTTGAGGGGCCTCCTGAGATTGGGGCACCTGGGGCCTAGGATTTAGGAGGGGCTGTGGGCATGGACCCAAGTCCACTCATC